AAATTTATCTTTTAAAAAAAAATAAGTTGGGCTCAATGGGTTAAAGTAGGTTGTTGATTACATTAGATGCATGCAAAGTCTAGCATTATATTATTGATGAAGATTGAAAAGTTAGTGTTATAAATATTACTGGAAGTTATATACAGTAATCAACTAAATTTATAAGACATTTACACAGTATTATTTCTACTATATATACAATAAACTACTGAATAGGCAAGAACTCATCAATAACCACTTGTAACAATATGGATAAGATTATGTAAATTTGAAGTGATGCAAGTTGATTTGAGATATAGAAATAATGATTCAAACAATTCATATGGATACATTTTCCAAATAATCTATTCAACATCACGTTTATGTGAATGTATAAGTTCATTGTACAGTCAGGATGAACACCGATTACTATGAGAAATATAATAATTCGATGTATTTGTTTGGCTGGTCACAAGATATGTATCACATCACTTAAAATATAACTACTGAAAAAACTACTGAACATATCTACACAACATTGAAGTCCTCCAAAGGTGATAGTTCACATTCAGTTGATAAATGGATCACACAGCATTATAAAAAATGAAATTGTTCATGCTTAAGATATATAAAAGCAAATCAGTGATAATTATTATTACCTTGGTCAAAACAACTTGGATTGATAAAATTAATCAATTCATTCTCTGTGAGCGAAGTGAAGGATTGCGGTATCATTCGATCTTCATTTTTCTTGTCCTGCTGAACACTGATAGAAATGTCTTTAACGGGAATTGGTATAACAAAATCCGTTTTCTGTTCTGTACGCATCACTGAAGCATCTGAGAAAGCTTGGGAAAAGTTGTTACCGACATTTTGCATCTGATTCAGATTGTTATTAGATGTTGTTGAAGGTAAATTAGTGCCCAATTCATTAATTTTTTTTTGTGTTTCCAAGAAATCCACTGCTGCATTGATTAGCAGAGCCTTTTCTGGTTCACTGGCAAGTGAAACTGAAATGGGGGAATGTAAGTTCAACCCTTCAGTGGAATTCTGGGATGCATTTGATACAATTAAAGATTGCTGTGTCGAAGAAATTGCAGGCAATAGACCTGGATCCACTGAACTAGTAGGTTGACAAAGGTTCAAGTTAGTAGCTGGTAGAAGTCCGTCTTGTTGCAAACCATTAGTATTTCTACACATCAGGCTCGGAGAAATTTGTGAATTCAATATAACCTCTGACGTTAGGTTAGGAGATGCGTGTGTATTTGTCATTTCTTGTTGACTTATAATGGGTGAAGGAATTCCAGTATTTATCATAGGTGGCACCATAAGGTTTGTCTGGGAATTCAGCATTATATCCTGTGAAGATATTATAACCTCTGCAGAACTGCTGTTCTTTGAAACTAAAGGCAATGTATTGGTGATCAACAAATCTTTGGGGGATGAATCTACCCTAGTAGGACTCAGATGAGATTCGACTGTAGAATTTACCAATGCATCCAGTCGTTCGGTGTTGATAGGTGTTGTGCAACTCCGATCTAATGTATTGGAGATTGTGGTAAGAGTAGATGAGACAGCAGTGTTTGTTCGTTCTGGAATGGATTGCTCCACTATGTCCACACTTTTATTAGATTTGGCTGTGGTGTTTATGGACTCACTTTGAGTAACACTAGACATGAAGGGACGTGGGGATCTAAGAAAAACAGGTTCTCCTTCGGACATTTTTGTTGTACACATGCCCGTATTGGATAACAAACTAGACATTGAATGTAGCTTTTGTGACTGGTATATGTTGGATTCTGCAGATATTATTTGAGCCAGTTTCTCACTAAGGTCATTTTTCATGAGTATACCTGTTGGATTTCCCAAAGGAACATTGCATGGTTTAGCTTCTATTCCTGTCAGATAGCTCTCCACACTCTGCCCACTTTGGTTTGGGAGTGGCCCTGTAGAATTCTCCATTCCAAATCTCTGTAGAGCAGCTATAGATGGGGCTGTGGTATTCACGAGATCAGCAACTGTGGCCATAGGTAGTTTCATTCTCAGATCCATAACAGTTTCCAGTGTGGTCGTAGCACAACTTGTTAGAAGACCACTGTGTTGTGATAAAATTGGCCTATCAGACGGTACTGTATTACGCATGGTTGTACTACAACAGGAATTGTCATCATCAATTGCCGACATATTTGAATTAGTACAGTCAACAGAATTTTCACATATCGAAGATTGCCTATTCATGGACTTGGTGTGAATCATCACATCGAGGCTATCATCATTATTCATACTTGGCCTACTGAGAGAGTTCCTTCTAACCATAATGTCCATGCTGTTTTCATTGCCAACGCTTATATTAGAGTTTTCATTCATGTGACTCATCATCGAATTCTGATGTATCAAATCTATTGAATTCTCATTTATCATGGACATGTTAGAATCACCATGGTGCACATCAAGAGAACTTTCAGATAAATGTCTGTATCTCTCTTGATCCACTGTGGATCCTTCACTGCTTTCATCAATGTATTCCTGTTTGAGGGAGTGAAGAGGGGGAGAATGCACATCACTGACAGAAGTTAGGTTGATGGAGGGACGTCTTGTTGTTGTGGGTACAAGGCTCGATTCTGGAGGGGGCATCATGTCCAAGTCTTGCTCTCTTTTATTAACGGGTTGTTGCCAAAAATTACTCTTGAAAAAAGTCCTTTGCTGAGATGGTGACGGAGGATCCATATGAACTGCAAAATAGAAGTACTGATTACTTACTGGTTCATGGACTGTGGAATACTAAAACTAAAAGCCGCCAGCTTAGCCACTGTAAGAAAAGGGGAAGGACTTGCCACTCAAGCCAAGCATAGTTTAAAATGTTCCGTTTTGTCAAGTCACAAATATTCTTTCAATGTTTTTTTTTTTAAATCATTAAATACGGATGCAAAAGGCAAGGCTTGATAGACATAACCCACAATATTGACGCCCCAAGTTCTCTCTCAAACAACACTGATTCATCGAGATCCATACCACTCGCCCCTGATTCGCAACTTACCTACTTCTATAATAATAAGGGTACATAGGAATCATGACAGTATTATGATCAGTAAATATTTCAGGCTAAAATTGATCAATGGAAAAGTCAAAGAGTAAAAAAGAAACCTCTCTACCAAATTAATATCCATTTGTTTAGATGTGTTCCGTGCATGGATGTTATGTTTACCCTCACCAGATGTTAAAACTTCTACACATATTAAATAGCCTGAAATAGTTTAGTACGAAAACAACTTATGACTAAATGGCACAGTGACTGAGACTAAATGAAAATTCACACATGATTAAGGACTTTCTTGTCATATCAGAAAATTCTTTCATTGAATCTTAGTCACCTAAAGATTGTGAAGTGATGATGTCATGATTTCTAAACAGATAATGAGAGTGGAATTTGCAACCGTGAAAAATCCTTCAACAGAAGGTTTAATTTGAATCTTGAAGTGACCATACAAAATACCAGTGTTTTACATCTAGAATTTTATTTTGTATTGTATCTCAAAAGTATGGTTTTTATTTGCTGAATAAACTTCAATTTCATATTATCATTGAGGAATTCTCCTAAATTATGAGTTTCTCCCCTGAGAAATCACACAGATTTTTTTGGAACTAGTTGAACTCATTTCATATATAAAAAACTCATGAAGTATTCAAAAAAATCAATTTATAAAATAAAAAAAATTAAAATTAATTTCATTTATCTATATCAAATCAAGATGTAAAACCTCTAAGATGATTATTTTATCACCACGAGATCCAAAACAACAAAAAACACAACCATGATGCAGTGAGAATGCCAAAAACCAATGTATCTATCTCCAAACTCCATTTTGCTGAAATACTCATATCTGTAGAGAGGAATCTTTAGAGAAAATAAGGATTCCAGGTCAAGAGGAAATATTATATCTTGTAGCCAACCACAAAACATTCATCTCATACATACTGTGCGTTAACATTACGGGTCGATATCAAGGTTCTTTTATTCATGATGGTGGAATACCTGAAAGAGAAAATGAATAATCTGCTCCTGGAGGAATCTCCTGAAAAACCTAGGGATCATCCTTAATAAATAGAGAAAATTGAATCAAATTTTCAAGATTAACAACAAAATTTGGAATTATAGAATCAAATAAACTAATATGTGTATTGGTATGTAGTATATGTTTGTTTCAGGATAATTGTGTGCATGTGAAAGGAATAAAATTATTCATAATTCATTTTCGTGAATGTGTGATAATATTTTTAGAGTTCTGTGGAATTTTCTCGGTGTTATTAAATATTCAATATGCAAAATAAATTAAGTGAAAATGAAATTTTAAAAGGTGGGCTTACCATAATTCATGATATGAACATGTAAATATCATAAAACAAAACAACTTTTCAAATCATATACAATTGATGGGAAATTCATCAATATGAGATTGAAATAATGTTCAGTGCCTAGACGGGGGTACTGCTTTTGTTTTTATAAAAAAAATCCTAGAAAAGTACTTGCTACCATGACCTTACAAAACTTATGTTATGGTTCAGTTACTTTTGGTATTGAATAAAATAAAATAATAATGTGTACAGTTTACTATTCAACCATACATAAATACCTTGTGTTGAAATGAGTATTCAACTGTTGAATTTCGATTGTTAGTAGAAATTAATAATGATTTATGGTGCAAATGATTTGACAAGTCGTATATCAAGAAAAAGTTCTGTTAAAAAATTAATTTGCTTTCAGATCTATAAAAATGTGAACTTAAAAATTTACATGCGACCTCTTCCCTGATATCATGCTGATAAAACTGTAACATATTCACCACTTTCGATTTCATCAGCAGAGTAAGCCCACATTTTCTCATCTAAATTGTAACATACAGAAAGTGAATTATGATTAGGGTTCAAATATAATGACCTCAATTTTGTTGCCTTTTTATTTCCAAATCATGCAAATTGGTCCATTGAAATAGAGACATTTTGGTTTCGCAAAAGTTTAGATATTTGAAAGAAATGTCGTTGAAAAAACACCCCAACACTTCAAATATGATGAAAACAAGAAAAAGGCGATATATAAGTTTGTTTGTGAGAAATAATTGTTAAGTGATTTTTCTTGAGATAAAGGATAAAATATACAAAATGAATATGAATGTAAGACACAAAATATTTTACATATCTCAATATGAGTATGTTAGGAGTTGATTGAAAATAATGACAAATCATTTCCGATGAATCATTGACTATCCTAAAAATATCATTAAACAATACTTTCAATTCCAACTCGATACAAATAACTTCTTTTTTTATATTTTATTTATTTCTGTGTCACATTCTTTATAGCGTTTGCAAATTCATTTTAGAAATAATATTGGAAACAATGAAAATTTCGGTTATAATTCACTAAGTAGGTAGGTAGACTAAGTAGGTATGCAACCCAATATGTCCCTATGTAAAAAATATTTCAGACAAAAAAGCAACAGTTATGAGTTTGTGTGCATATGTAGAAATTTCAAAGTGAAATGCTGATAAGTGTGTAATGAGATTATGTAAAATGGTGTGTTTTTTTAATTTAGTACCGGTGATTCTGAACCTGAACGGACGCGTCATCGCAGGGTGAAGATTAGGCCCCATAGGCTGACAGAAGACGACGGGCAGCACCTCTACGTATACAGAGCTTGTATGCTGTATGAGACAAAGTGATAAAGCAAACGAATTTGAGAATTGGTGATAAATTTTTTGGAGTTCATCTTACAAGAAGTAATCGTCATTTGACTTGGATTTTGCAAACTTTTTTGACCATTTCACTTCAGTTTATTCACAAAAATGGCATATTTCAGATTTAAAATTGACATTGAACAAAATGAGAGTCAATATAGCTTATAATTTTTTGAATTGATTCCACTCTTTAATTTTCAGATAAAAGGTGGAAATATAAAATAAGTCATTTTGTTGGTTCATAAAAAATACAGATGAGGCAGTTTTCAAAATGCAATCCAAACCAATCACTATACATCAACCAGAAACCCCACCAAATATAAAAAGAAAAGTGACAAGTATAGAAACATAACAAAACTCCATTTGAAAGATCATTCTCTTTCTATATTTATAAATTTTACTACAGATTACCCTTTGTAACGTATGTCTTTCTCAGTAGTGGTAATTTTTCAGTTATTTTTCTGCATCACATTTTTTTAAATAACAGAGTATTATCACATTTTTACATAATTAGTATCTATATTTGCCTGATGATTCTTATACTTTTATTTTAAATTCGAGCTGTCTCACTTCATTTCTTTTGTTTTATTGACGTTTTTAGTTAAGACACAATGTACTTAGAAACTATGCCTGATATTGACTCACATAGTATTTGGATTTTGAATGATTTTTTTTCTGCGAGCGGAAGAGTGGGCATGAGTACTCTTGTGAATTTATGTGAACATGTGGTAAATTAAATCATTAATTATTTTTATTATAGTTCCGCAAAGTCAATAACTTTTCATTATACTTCTGTAGTTGAAACATTTAAAAGACAAACATTTTCAGAAAATATTCTTTGTTTTTTTGTAAAACCATGCCGAGGGTTTAAGAAATCTGATATTGGTTTCTGCAGTTTAATTTTCCGCTGTTGACTTGGCGACCTCTCAAAATTTTCACTACCTGTCATTAGTTTCGGCAACTATTTTTGATTTCATCAAATACGGAACACACATATGACTCAGTTTTAAAAAATTTTCATTTTAACAAGTACATTACTTCCAGAAAACTGTGAAAACTCTTTAGAATTACGATATACCTACTGATCGTATATTTTGGATTAATAGTGTAGCTAATTGTCATTTTTTTTTATCTGAATCTCAAGGAACAACCTCCAGTAAATCAAGTACTTGCTGTTTGATTACATACATTTTTCCAAACAAAATATAGTTATGAAATGAACGTCCTTGATAAGTTACAAAAAATAAAATTTCATAACTAGTTACGAAATCTGACATCTACCATGCTGCGATCGTATATACTGGACACGCTGACAGCAAGTGCATTAGGGTCACAGGCGTCTCTGGGCATGTCCTGCACCTTGTGTCAGGAACCTATATACCCATCACGAGACAGCGATAGATAAAACGTTGAAGACACCATCCTGGCAGGCCATGATTAATTCTTCAGTTTCCAGCTTCAACCTGAGGAAAGCGAAAGTCGGGCGCTTTGATAAGCCGAGGTCTTCAATGTTGTAGAAGACCCCACACATTGGCTTATCCTTGTGTTGCCGCAAGAGTGAAGTGATCTCTGTGGCTTTTATATAGGCCTTCTGCTGGACGGGTTCTAACTCGGTAACGGAGTTGTGATCACCTCGTTCAGTGTCAAAAACTTAACCGAGTTCATCAGCCGCTCGGGCAGCTACCCTAATGAGAAATGCTTTAATTCCTGCTCTCTGCATGGTCCGCGACCATGCAGAGAAGGGGATCCGAACTCTTAATGACGTTACAGGCTCTATCCAGTACCATTTTGTCAAGTAGACACTTTAAACCCGAAAGACCACGACTTTCCTACAACCGTGTAATGGATGATTTGGGATGCAAATTCCTATGGAGATGCATCATTTTTCGGGTCTTTACATTGAGTTGATACAGCTCCTACCGAGATCACTTAACTACTCCAAACGAGTAGAGAAGGATTGGAATGCCAAGTATATTTGTTGCAGCAACTTTGTTCTTCCCCGACAGTTCCGATGACTAGATCTGTCGAAGTTTGTGCTGATACTTGCCGTGGAGAAAGTTCTTCACCGCCGTTACCTCTTGTGTGTGGCGTTGTTCCACCCCGAGGTAATTATACATCTCTCCGGCATACAAATGGTGTAGAATGCTTTCATCTACGAACTTCACATCCTCTCCGTAGTCCCCGCGTCGTCCTCTCTGGAGAGGAACCCTTGCACATTTGTGCTTTTCCACCACCTTTCAGGACTGATGGAGATCCTTTTCTCCAGAGGCAAAGAATTAAAGATCATCCATATGAAATAAATGAGCGACCTTATGCTTCCGGTTTCTAGGGGTGTCGATGTAGTGAGATGCAGAAAAGTAGGGGACTGAGGGAGTCACCCTGAAATACAATACTTCTAAAAGTGACTCACCCTCTTTGGACTGACCAAACTGACCAGATGTAATGGTACAGCGATTGTGCTAGAGTGGTATTAGTTGTTCAAGGCATCTCAGTATTTTGTCGGGTATTGCAAGGCATCTGAGCAAATGAAAAATGAGCTTAAGCTCCTGCGATGTATCAAATACATTTTGGTAATCGATCCATGCCATAGAGAGGTTACTCTTATACTGTATTGAAATATGTCATTATTATTTCTATTATTATTATTAATTTGCGGGTAACTAAAAAACAGCATGAATCTACATTATCAGGTATATACAGGGTTTATTTCTACACCTACAGCTCTGCATTCATAGTAGCCGAAAAATCTATCAGTTGTCTGACAAAGAAACTGAACTCTCATTCCCATAGTCAACATGTTTACCACTTATAAATATATTTGTGATGATAAATAGATGAACTTGATATTATCACACTATGCCAGGAACTGTTATTCACAAAAGATGTTGCCATATTCCTACTTCTCTATATCATTATGCTCACAAATAGAGCTGGACAGGTGATCACCCGCTACTGCATGCTCTTGAGAAAAGAACAACTTTCTTATTTGGTATTTGAATAATTACAAGGAACCCTATACATAAAGATAATTCAGTCTTGTTAAAAGTGATTCAATAAACAATCACCCAGCTATTTTACCTAAAAGTACAGAGAAAAAGGGAACATCAGAAAAATAATTTTTATCATAATATACAATAAAAAATATTTGAAAGAGATTTGTCCAATGTCCCCTTACTTTCAACAAAATATTTAGAATTTTAAAAATCAAATCAAATAAATTCAATTTTGAGTTGCAATGATGATTTTCGAATATTTTTCACAGGTAGGACAATTCAACATTCAAAAGTATATTCAATATCAAATTTTAAAAATATGAGAAACGGAAAATATAATTAATTTCGATTAAAATAATTACACTTCATTTGGATTAAAAAAAGTATGTCAAATACCTGAATAAACGTCATATATGAAATTAAAAAGTTGAACACATCATCTATCAACTTATGCATGTGAAATTATCAGACTCATAATAGTGTTTAGTACTCTGAACTAAATAATACTGCATTAGTGATTACACATTCTTAAATAACTCTATTGAAGAAGTACATGATTATAATATATCCACAATTTTTATATCTGTTACAATTGAATTAGTGAATTTGAGTTGATGAATCATGCCTTCAGTTGAAAAGTTACTGGAGAAAAACATAATTGTGAATTTCAATATACCATCTACATAAATTGACTGCAACACATTTTTTATAAAATTGTCGATAAAGTCAAAAAAATTTGCAGCACATTTTGATTAACTACATCATGAAAAAATGTTTTGTATACAATAAAAATTTAAATAATTACATGTCATATTGTGAGATATTTAAATACATTTCACAGTTAGATAGTTACATTTCAAATGAATGTATACAAAATAATTTCACGAGAGACAACATAAAAAAAAGATCCTGCAAAAACTGTGAACTTTTCGTGGTAATGACGATTTCATCCTAAATAAAAGACAAAATGCAAAAGATCAAATATTTATCTTTTTTCAAAATCACTGGAAATATTGAATGAGCTATATTATCCTGACTTAAAAAAAACGTTTCTCATTAAAATAATTTAAAAACAACAGATCAACAATAAATATGATGGGATAACATAGCCCTTAATCTGAAAATCGTTGGAACAAACGTTACACTACAACACACGGAACATTCTTGAATCAACTTTCGCAAGCTCATGATAAGCATGCGTTCATTTACATTCAAACTCGTTTTATACTCTTAAATCACTCACTATCACACTTTAGTGTACGTTTGCTACAAAATATAGAAATACTGACAAGGTGAAAAAATGCCAATAACTAACCTCAAAATCATCAATATCATGAGGATCATTTAAATTCCTTTCTCAGTATTCAAAATAATTAGCGATTATAAAAGTATAGTATCTTCTTTATGATACAAAGACTGCCAATTACTGAACAAACTCAATGAATATTCTAAAGATGAAAAAATTATATAAAACTAATCTGATTCATGAGTCGATCTACAAAAAGATGGTATTAATTGAAAGACTGAAAATTCGTAATGAAGAAAAAAATATAATTATAATAACATTCGGTCATTTCCTTTTCCACTGGAATATATTGAAAACAATTTCATTTTTATTCGAACTGAAAGCTGAAAAACTGAATCTGAAATACTTTGTGTCAATTATTTTGTTAGTTTGTCTTTCACATATTTTGAAGTTGATTATAAAATACAAGTTGCTTAAATAAAGACAGTCACGAAATCTAAGACTGCAATTTTTCACCTTCATGCGTAAAAGTATTATTAAAGTATAGTAATGAATAATATGAAAAAAATGAAGCTTAAGAAATTGGAACGAAATAGTTAAAAAATCTCTAATAATACTCATTTGACCATACACTCAAGTTTTTCATGCACCTCATGCTTAAAAGCAAAGATTGAACTAATATTGTTTTGGTATTTTGTTTATAAAATTCAATATTGTACATACAAATGTCAACAGATTGTTATAAACTTTTAATATATGGTATATGTAAATGTCTTCAACATATCTGATAGATAAATGAGAGAGGGGGCAATATTCTCTGTGAGTAAAATTAAGTCTGGTTGCATGTATTTTAAAAAGAATTTTTGTTTGTCTGTTTCATTCTTCAAAATACATACATTCTTTCGATTTATTTTTCATATCATTTTGTCCTAGACAGAAAGACTTACAATTTTGAAAATGATGATATTACTCGAACTCGGTAACAAATCATCTTGTTGAATGTAAAATATATGTCTTTATCTAGAAACTAATATTTTGGACATTAAATATAATACTGTTGGATTCTGTCAATTATTTAAATATGTTATTGCAAGTTTGTGCTGCACTTTTCACGTGCAGATATCACCTCTATAGGTAAGAAATAGGTAAAACAGTAAAAATAAGAACAAACTGTGAATGAAATAAGAGATCACACAAGATATTTCACTTCCACCACAATTCAAAACCTTATTGAAAAAAATCCAAAAACAGAAAAAAGAGAAAAGGACCCATTAGGTTCGTTCCAACCTTGAGTCACAAACAGATTTCCAACTGTTTGTAAATCGTTGACAACGCGCATGTCTGGTAAATATTGGTTTCTGATTAATTTGAAATTTCTGATTGGAACAGCTTACGCTGGTTGGAACGAACCTATTAAAAACTAATGTGGAAGATTTTTTTTTTAGTACCACAAATGTCAAATCTGTCATAAACACTTCGAAAATTAGCTTCAGTGTAAAGTATGAGTACAGAAATGATGAAACTTTTCCTGATATTTTGAACAAACCTCTTGTGCACGTAGTGAACTGTTGCATCATAAACAACAAATTACCATCTAATTCGAAGTTATGTGGAGCAACACACCCACTTTGAAACAGGTGATATCAAAGACTTGATAACAATAGATGTCAATGACATCAATTTCGAACTGAGCATAAAAAAAATGGAAGAATTTCTGGAAATGTGTAATATCAGTTACATAACAATCTCAAGATGGTTTTCGATGTTTCAAATTATCAATACAATTATTTGCAAATAATAATGATGCTGAATGTGTATGATTGATTACTTGTTTATTTTGTGGTAATTCATGGTCACTTCAATGAAATTAATAAAAACACCTTTGTCTAATTAGCACTAGTTAATTTTATTTTTATGATGAATGAATGAATGAATAAAAACACTTTTGTCCAATTACCACTCGTTAATTTTATTTATACGATCAGTTTCGAGTTTAACCGCTTTATCAAGTATAAACTGGTTTTATACGGTTTCAGGTTTAATCCCATTATCGAGTATAAACCGTATAACACCAGTTTTATATGGTTTCGGGTTTAATCCCATTATCAAGTCTAAAACTAGTTTTTACTAGGGTTTTAATAGGGTTTAACTCGAAACCGGTCGTATAAATAAAATTAACTAGTGGTAATTAGACAAAAGTGTTTTTATTCATTTCATTAAAGTGAAATAGACACTCGTGCAAAACTATGTGACTTATACGAAGCATTTGACAGTGTCTCCCATAATATTCTACCAAAAAGCTTCAGATTTGTGGATTTCGCAGTCCAGCACTCATCGAAACATTCTGAAAAGACAGGACATCAATATCCAATAAATATTAAAACCGAAAATAAAATGAGTGAACTTGGAGTCACACAAGGGCCAGAGCTGTGACTGCTATGAAGGAAGAAAACACGAAAAAACATCTTTGGAAATGATTATGTATTTCTTAATGTCCCTGCATAGCAATTCACATGTTATAGTGATTTTTGCTCAACATATTTCATACTCAAAATACCAAATATTAAATCAACCTTATAATAGACTTTCAAAGTAAAATGCTACCAACTTACCACTAGGCATCGATCCATTAACTGGCGTGTAGACAAATTGATGGGATTCACTTGTTTTACCGCTGGACACCACACATAACCTTACCGATACTGGTTCGGTTATGTCAGGCCTGCGGTAAGGAGGTACAACACAGACAAAGTGAGTCTGAAATAAAGATAGCATTTTTCAGATACAATGAGAAATGAAATTTTAAATTATTCATTTTGGTAAAAGTCAAGCTAATTTTTGTACATAGCTCAACCCAACAACTTCTCTTCTGTTTATATAGTGATAATATTTATAAGATGTGTTAGGTTAGGTTAGAAATCACACGTTAAAAGGTAAGACCTCGTTAGTCCTTAGCTCGCACAAGTTCTCAACTTCTGAAAGTTGTCGTTCGTCTGGGGGCGACAGCTGATTAACGGAAAAACATATTTTTTTTTAACAGATGTACATATTAAAATAACTTATAGCAAACGTTTTGTCTGAAACTTCTTAACATTTGGAAAGCTAATACCATTTGAAGTCAATCTCTGAGTTTGAAATATTTGTAGAAATATTTATTAGAAAAAAATACAAAGAAATAATTATTTTTTGTTACAAATTACCGATTTCCTAATTAGTTCAATAGGAGTAAGAGAAGCAACAATTGGCATCACTGCCGCTTCCAATTCGTATCTAGAATTGGTCGGCAATAAAAAAATAAGATATTTCAACCTTCCTTAGAGGTAAAAGTCCATAGGCGTTAGATCCGGTGACCTGGCCGGCCTTGAGTCCTTGGTTGGCGATTCAATTATTACCAAAATTTGCAGCAAAAAAATTGGTAATAATTGCAGTGTTGTGAAGCGAAGCCCCCGTAGTGTTGAAAATATATTTTTCTGGGCTCCACTAGCGGCAATTCATCAACAAGAGGTTCAATGTTTTGCCTTAAAATTTTTAAACATCTCTGAGATGTGAGAGTGACATTATAAATGAACGGGTCGATAATTCTACCCCTGAAAACACCTGCCCACGCACTAAATCCAAATCTTCCTTGACTTCTCTGCTTCACAATAGAAGGAGGATTTTATTGATATAGATAGATAGATAGATAGATAGATAGATAGATAGATAATTCTTCATTTCCAACAGGTATAAGTACACTCAATAACAGGAAATGTATAAACTGGATAAATGTATATATGAAAAAATGTTTCGAATTCACACATTCACACATTCACATGTTATTAACAAAACCGTGTTGTTCAATAGATAACATACCCTTTGTTGCATTGTATATGTCTTTGTAGAGAATCATTTCGAAAAGTTTCGCAAAATTACAAACCATAGAAATTGGTCTATAATTTTTAATTTGTGTTGAATCGCCTTTTTTTAGTATTAGTGAGATCCTTGCAAGTTTCCATGTGTTAGGAAATGTGTTTGTTTCGATCATCAAATTGGAAATATAAATACCAAAGGTTGTGACCATGGGATAATACAATCCTTAACTAGGAAACTCGGTATTTGATCTGGACCCACGATCAATTTATTCTTGGGGTGTTTGGATGACTGAATAACATGATTTTCTGTAATGCTATTGAAACTGATGGTGTGCAAATTGGCATATTTTTCCGGTAAACGATCGGCTAAATCGGAATCAGGCAAACTATATACACTGGAGAAATATTTCACAACAACGTTTACAACATCTTGCGTGTCTGTTAGTATACAGTCACCATCCTTCATTACACCAGGGATTCTGCTGGTTCCCTTTCTATTACGTATAAAATTCCAAAACTGATTCGGATCGTTACTCGTTGTGCTCAAGTATAAGAATTGTAGTGGTTGAAAGTACTGACACTGCTCACATAAGTTTCATCTGCCCAAATACAATTCAACGAAAAATTATGCACTTGGTTACCACTGGCAAAAAGCCATGCGGCGTTCAAAATCTCCTGGTCTGAGTTGATGAACTCTTCTGGTCCTGTATGGCTTGAATTTGTGTTTTTCCAAAATCCTCCTAACGTTAGTTCTTGATAGGCCTGTTGATATTTTCAAATTTTGCGTTGACGTTTTGGAATTATTTTCAACAGCTCCTAAAACGACTATTTCTTCCAACTCCTTACCCCTATTTGATCCTTATTATTTAGGCCTTTTCTTTTCATCATAAGGTTGTGTCGCAATCTTGTGACAATGTTTCTAAAAGGTTGTCTTCTCTCTGGATACCTCTCGTGATACAACGTACATGTTGCTTCTGTATTTTTCCTGGTTTATACAAAACTATCATATCCCATTTTTCATAATTTTCATACTTCATTGCGAATGTGTTTGAAAATTGAACAAAAACCATTTATTAAAAAGCGTCTTTACTGCTTCAATCAAAATCTGACAGCTACCAGTAAAGATTTGCATTCTGTTTTATTCAAGGTAATTTTAAGCTCTATTGAAATATGTAGAAATATACAGGGTGTCTCATTAAAAAAATAGTTTTCCATCAATAACTGTTGATATCTCATTTGAAAAAATAAGTTTTTTACACCATTGAATTAAACGTAAAAATGTGCTATGGAAATGTTTTCATAGGAACAAGAAATTTTTGACAGGAAAAAGTTACAGCAACTTTTCAAAAATGCACATTTTCAAAAGAAATGCTGTGACTCAGAAACGATGATAGATATCGATATGCGGTTTTCACCATTAAGTTTGTCATAAAATTTGATCCTCAGAGACATTGATCAGTTTTCGTCTATCTAATTTGATAATGGGAGTATTTGTACAGATGCCCAATTTGGGCATTCTGTACAAATCATTCAATTCTGTTCATTATCCCAAGAAACGCCAAATGCCTATAATTGAAGACTAGTACTAACTATAAAATATCATACAATGGCAGCAAGAGAAAGAAGATATTTTACAAATAACAGAACAACTCATACCATATTTTTAAAAAACAACGAAAAGCAATCAGAAATGAAAATGACAAACTTTTAATTTATGTTAAAATTGATGAAAGTATATATTAGAAAAAATGTAAACTATGAAGTTCCACTATAGAATTTTTACCATATGGTTAAGTTTCGTGACAAGCATAGGCAATGAAAAAGTTGATGAAGAATGTGCTGGATACGTGTCTTTGATATGGGACCAGATAAAGAAATGGAGCAATAAAACAAAGAATATTGAGAAAATATACTTGAGAACACACATTAGGGCAGTTATTGTAAAGACTATCAGAGAAAAAACTAAAGAATTGCTTACTATAATTATAGAGCTAATCAGTGGATACTGTGAATCTAGATCTGAAAAAATTGAGAGTATGGAGAAAACATTGGCTGAAGACAGTGCAAGGGACATAAACAGCTTGTCATATTTTATACAAATGTGAAGCACTGGACAATACGTGTCAAGCAATTTATAGACCATCCAAATTATGGATAAAATAGTAACAGAAAAGGATTTTACTATAATTAGGACACTTTTTTGTCACTGTTTATGTATCACCTATGAATGGCTTCATTTCTATGAGAATTAAATCCATATATTTTCCTCAACCCAATAAGCGCCCCTATACAAACATTTGTATTGGAACTGGATATTACTCAATATTATTTACTTTGCATTAGGTCCATTGTATATCTTTCACAAGTAGTAAAAGCAGATTAGGTTTTTTATTTCATTGCACGATACTGCATCAATTGTATGTGTAGGGACAATGTTCATTGATAACTTTTTTTTGTCAGTTAGAACAAATAGCCATGGTAAGAACAACAAAAACCGATTTTTTTTTTTAAATATAAACTAAAAGGAAAATGAAAGATACGGAAAATAGAAACCTAAAAAGTGATGCATTTAGGCAGAAGCAAATAGAGGGAGGGCGAAAAAAGTAATGTGGGAACTAATCAAAAAAGTTAATAGCATCCTACAAAACTGGAAGTATTTGTTTAGACTTGTATTATAACAAATGAAAGTTTTTTAAAAGATCTGAAAATAGCTGTGGAATAATTTTTTACAGCTCAACAATATGTAGTTGTTTCAAGCCGATTTTGGAACCTCTGCCCACCTCTTTCAAACTTAAAACGACCTTCACATACGTCGCACGATGTAGTAAAGGTGACTTTAAGAGAGTGTTTTGCGTTTGACCATGAACGACCTTGACCTACGTCACATAATGCAAACAAGGTGACTTTGAGGTAGTGTTTTGGGTTTGACCTTGAAAGATCTTCATTGATTCACGCCCTATTCACGCGTCTATTTCGAAGACTTGAGAATTCAACCTTGAACAACTTTCAGCTGCATGGTCGAAAAGGCGTCTGGAGTGAGTTTTAGTTTGAATTTGATTGACCTTTTGCGATATCATATGTGGGAAAATTCGTGATGAAACATTACGGGTAGTCTCACATATAGAAAAAAACAACTGCAAGATGAACATGGAATACTGTATGTAACATGAGATTGTTCTTTATTGCTGAGGAGAGTTTTGATTTCAGAGTAGAAGGAAAAAATCTTTTTGTTGTTCTTTGTGGAATTGTATTAGAAGTGACAGAAACTAAGCTACGAGATACTTTTGAAAAACAAACAATTATTGAGAAATGTTTTGGTTTTCCACTTCTCCGACTTTATACAAAAAAGTGAAAAACTTTGTTTCTTTCTCAAAAACTGATTTCTCCTACAAATATACTCTCTTTCAATTTGAAAAATTAATTGTGGGGTACAATACTAGGGAGACTGTGAAAAAATAATCTGAATAACATTTTCCCCAAATGTGATCCATGTAGAACTTCTAAAAATTTGATTCATAATCAACTGCCATTTTTAAACTCTACTGGTGACATAAATTTCAATCCACATCAAATACCCTCCTCAGCTCAGAAATATTAAACATGATATGTGGAGACTTTATTTTCTATTTCAAATTCATGCATAAACGCTCTTCAGTTAAAAGGCAATCGGATATGAAAGGTTTCAGTGCATGTGGCATACAAATATTCAGGAATCTAGCTTTTCATTTCAATAAACATAGGTATATTGAAAAGGTGATTATCATTTCCTAAAGACGCCAACTTGGTTGGTTAAACGCACGTCGAGAAAAGTGTTTTAGTTCTGGTATTTGGGAACAGTGATTGTTTTAGATGTACTTATAAATTTTCATGTTAATGTAATGGTGGATACTGCTTTCTATAGTTCCATGAAAAAACATTAATTTTTTGTTTCACTTTATTGTACGTTATTAGTATAGCCACAGTTCTAAGCTTTCATACGTTTTATTTAAATTTAAATGTTTTGGACATCTTCATAATTTTTGGTTTTTACATAAATATAGCCTGTGCATTATCGGTGGGTCTAAGGAGGTTAAACTCGAAAAAAATACCTGTTGTAAATATTCTTTATCAGGTGAAACAGCTTGTTCCCATCTAACTTGACCATCCTCGAATTGCTGGAAAATAACTTTCGTATCTTTCAAAAAGTTTTTGCCTAGAACGAATAGCTCCAATCCTCCACTAGCCGGACAGGAAGTAAGAGATTTTTTGCAGATTTCGGGAATTCCTGGAGGTTGTGCTGAAAAATGAAAAATATTTGAACATGATTATTCATTACCAAATATAACGTATGAAATATCAACATAATAATCGTTATTAATACAAGCAAACTGATTATGGTGATTGCACTTTGAGAATATAAGAAAATTATAGTTTTTAACAGCTTGTATTCTAAACAGACCACAACCCCTTGGTAAGATAGTGTAGCCTAGATGTGTGTACAAAAGTGAAATCCTGTTTGTATAGCTCTGTTGCTGTTAGAAAGGCTAATGAATGGTCCATGAAATTGTACTTATTTGTCACAATGTTCAATTTTGTATCAAATACTTCTGCATTTGTCACATGCTACATTTATTACTATTGATCAAATGTGATTATAGTGAAATAGTTGTCTGATATTTGTAAAAAAGCGACCCTTTCAAACTAGCAAGTATGCATACATTCTTAAGTACCTATTATTCATATGAAAGATAAACTTGTATCTAAATGTATGTAAATGTAAAGTCATGTCCTACAGTTTAAAAATGAACATCCTAATTTTTGATTATTCAATAGAAAATGTTTCCCTTGAATGAACAGGAACATTTAATGATCTTGGTGTCACATTCGACACTGCACCATCATTTAATAAGTATATTGATAATGTTGTAACCTCCTCCTGTCGTATGTACGGATTAATTGCACGTAAAAGTAGTGATTTTAAAGAAACTTTGGAATTAAAAACTTTTTTCTATGCTTCCATAAGATCAAAGTTAGAATATGTTTCAGTTGTGTGGAGCCCCTTTTATCAATATCGTATAAATAGGATAGAAGCAATTCAACGAAGATTTTTAAAACTGCTAAGCCTAAAAACTGATAGCATTTATCCACCAATAGGCACAACCCACTCTCAATTATCAAAAAAGCATAACTTTTTCAGTCTTGAAAAAAAAGCGTGAGATTTATAGTGCCGTGTTAACCTATAAAATTATCAAAAGCATAGATGACTGCCCAACATTATTGGGAAAGTTTAATATTTGCATTCCTAGAATATATTCCAGACACCCGAGTACTTTTTATATAAAAACATCTCGCACAAATGTTCTGGAAAATTCTCCGCTCCAAACCATGTGTAAAGTGACAAATTCTGTTAGCGATGATCCAGATGTATTTAGTTGCAAGTTGACAGATATAAAATAGCACTTTTGTTTTGTCACCCATTATGAAATATATAATGTGTATACGCTTGATACTCATATGAAAAGTTTGTGATGTATTCATTATATTCTGTTAATTCCTGCTCTGAAATTAGGCTTTGCCCTGTAGAGCATTGTAAAACAAATAAATAAATAATCGAATTGATAAGAGTTTGGCAAAATAATTTCCATCCCTCAGCTTTGATTTTTTGTGATATTGCCNGTGTTTTGGTAATTTAATGCAGAGTGCAACAGACTGTTGGTTGACACTGGAAGTCACAGATATGTTTACGTATTTTTTTCCTAGAATACTTATGTGTGTATGCCAATGAAGGTACTCATGAATATAGATTCCTAAAAATTTTATAGACTTTTCTATTTTTATTTTTTATACCAGTATCTTTACCAATGATGGGGGTTTCAACTTTTTATTTTTGTGTTTAGAAAAAGGAAACGTTTGTTTTTTTCTAAATTCAATAATGCATTATTTTTCATGAACCAATTTTGTATATCATTTATCAACTCATTTGATTTAATTATTAACTTTGTATCATCAGCATAATTTACGGTAGTTATATCGTCAAAATTAGACCAGAGTCTCAAATTTTAACTTTGAATTCGTAAAAATAGGCGAGTTCAATTGAAAAATTTTCAATAAAAGAGTCGGGATAATGTAAATATTACATATTTTTTTTAACAAATGTAATTTTTTTATGTAACACAATTTCAATATTACTATATTAATTTAAACTCCTAAACAGCTCATTATAAATAATAATTCTTTCGTATAATCAAACTTACTGCATACTATTGGTTGTGAACACACTTGAAGTGTCTCTTGAGTACCATCATCGAGAGTAATAGTGGTCCTGAAAATCATCCGACATCGGGTGGATTTTTTCTTGCTTCGATTGCCTAACTGGTCAGGAAATCTGTGTTCGACGTCGACATTCCTTTCCTTTAATATACCCACGCAATCGCAGGTGGCACTCATTTCTTTTGAAGGATCAAGCTGGAGTTCTATGACACAGGTACCGTCAATTTTCTTTTCCACGCATGGCGTAGAATTTTTCCCGCTGACTTTACATGCTTGATAAAACATATGTGGGGAAACTTTTCCAATATCTGTTCCAATGAAAACCTGAAATAAAAAATAAATCACGGTGTAACTTTTTGAATTTTCATTTGAAAATCTCAAAATTCTATGTAATATACGAAGACTGTATACTGTGCGGAAAATGTGTGATTTTGAAAATCCACATACTGCTATGTCTTCGTCTGGAATAAATATGAATTTTCCTGTGATTCAGATGAGATTCAGATAATGACAACTTTACAGGAGAGCTTCCTTATGCGAAAACCATGTTGAAGAAATTGTATACTGTACTTACTGTAAGATGAATCAGAAATTATTCAAATGAGGCTATCTTGACATAATTTCATTCTCAAAAATGTTTCTCTGTAGAAGAAGAGGTGAACAAAAATAATTAGTCTTACTAAAATGTGATAGTCAAGTAGACAAGATAGAGTGACTGTGACTTCCATTGCTATTTGAATTGAGTAATTAAAGAGCACAATTATGTCTTATATGAGCAGTCGGATTTTTTATGCAACAGTTTTGGTGGAGCTTTGAATAACACATCGAACCAATGAATAAGTTTTAGGACAAAAATACATAACGCAATGATATTTCACAAAAATCCATCATTTTGTATAGTTCCTTCTCCTTTGAAATTATCAAGTTATTTTCAGTTGAGTGTTAGAGATTCGGATCTCTATTATCAAAAATATTAACAGATTGAAAACCTCAGAAGAGAAAACTGGATAAACTACACAAACAGATCAAAACATTTTATCTAATTTCTAATGTGTTCTCATTTTTAAGGGTTATGAAAAAGTAGTTCTCACTCCTAAATTTCCATTAATTTGTTACTAACTTGGAATGTTACAAATCCAAAGTATAATCAAGATCAAGGATAATTATTAGACTACTTTCTTTTTATGTAATGTTTTGTGAATCAGTATATAAATCCAAAACCTATGCTAAATAACTGAACTTTCTCAAAGGGATAAAAACCCATTTTTTTCATATTGAAAGAATAAAGAAATCATTCATATCTTGTGTTATTCTGTAGATTAAAGGTATAAATAATTGGAGATTGTGGTTCAGTTATGTCTTCAATTCAGGAAGCTGAAATCAGGTCAATTCAAGCTGAATATAGTACATTATGTAAGACTGCCATCTTCCTAAACAATCATATTATGAAGTAGGCTTCTGTGCCCTGAGCCTCTTAGTACAACTCCATCCCTGATTATGTCGAAAGCAACGTTATTGGATTGTGGAAAAAAAAAATTGATATCTTACATTCATCATAAGATACATTTAGTTAATTATTTTCTATTCAGCTCACTAATCCATTAATTTGAAATATTTTTGTGTACTTACCCTTTAATATATTTTTATATAGGGCCCTCTACTGAGTGAATGTTTTCAATGTCCCGAAGTTAACAAAATAATGGAACATATTTTCCAAAAACATCGAATTATAAATTATTTGAATGTTTGTATTTTTATTTACAAAATTTGTTAATGATAATTTTTACTTAAAAATTTTCATTAAATTCCTTGTACCAGCATTATCTCTGTGTTGTGTCGAATAAATAAATAAATAAATAAATAACAATTATACAGTCACATCTAACAGACAAAGCTCATTGGCTAACCTCCCAAAAAATCCATGACACTAATTGAGTAAGACGGTTCTGTACTGTTATTGACATATTCATTCAACTTACACTATAGGTGTTGCACATATTTTTATTATTGTGAAGGTTAAGATTTTCCACTAGTTGAAGTGAAAAACTTCATTTTGCAATTAGAAATGGTTAATGAATCTGTTTCCTTTCAAACAGATATGATGTAATAATAAGAGATTACTATCAGAGTTACACTAATTATTCACATTATTGTAACTACTACTACTACTACTAGCACAAAATACTATTAACATTTTGAAGATTATTTCTCGAAAGGAAATACGGCTATTTTGCACCCTCGGTAGACAAGTATATCACAGTTAGGTATAGTTTTTCATTTGTGGATATATAAAAGAAATATATCAAATTGAAATGGAATTATGTTTTAATCATTTCAAGTGCGACTTATATACCTGTAATGTTGCCGGTTTGTAGTAGCCAGTCAGTTGTACAATAGGAAAACCGTTTCCTTCCCTGTCCTTGACGGCACCTCTGCTGCCTTCAGTCTGATATCTCGCTCTGTGTTGTTGCTCTGGTTGTTTCAGTATCGTTAAGGAAGCCTCCACTGAAAAAATATGTTAAAAGGGAACATTAATCTGAAATTATATGAAAATTATGTCCTATATACAGTGCAACACACTCAAGATGAAGCACCCCTGTATTTTAGTCATTTTTGAAAGCAGAGATTTAATTTTTGGTAAAGGCGTATGGACCGCCCTTTTCGCAAGCCAGCGGCCATGAAGATCTTTCTAGATCTACCTCCTTTCCACATTTTTCTGGAGAGAGAGGCTAGATGGACTGCATATAGACTTGTGCACATTGCCAATTGCACAAATCAATTTAATGCAGAGTGCAACAGACTGTTGGTTGACACTGGAAGTCACAGCATCAGATGGATCAAAAACACCTTCCGCTTCTGGTGCAGGTGTTTTCAGCCACAGACCCAAGACAGAGATATCAACCTGCCTAGGAACCTATGCGACTGTATTTCAAGCGGAAATTTACGCTATTGACTTGTGTGCGGAGAGATTGGAAGAATCCAACCTCATACACAAGTTAATAAAAATATTCTCGGTCAAACAAGCGGCGTTGGAAGCTCTTGGCTCCTACCGAGCAGCGTCTAAATTGGTAGCAAATTTCCAAAAACAACTCTCCTCGATAGGAAAACTTAACAGATTGTCTCTGGTCTGAATTCCTGGCCATACTTGCCTGGAAGGCAATGATGCCTGTCAGAATAAGACAGTGTGTGTCGCCTCTGTTTGGAAAATGATGAAACAGCAGAGCACATACTTTGTGCCTGCCCCGCTGGGGACCGAATCAGGTTTTTAGAGTTCGGCAGAGCCGTCTGATCTGAAAGACCACTCACCATACAAAATAATTGGCTTCATTAAGAAGCTTGGTTTATTTGGTCTAGTGTAAATAGGTGTGAGCCACAATAAACCCTTGCGGGTTGCGGTGGAGGGTCGAATAAACCCACTCTTTTAGATCTAACCCAGCCTAACCTACGAGTGATAGCCTTGAACCCAGCCTACTGAGATCTCTCGAAAAGGGCAAATTCTCGATATTTTACTTCTCGTTGGATATACTGAAACAAGTTATTTGAAAAAGTTGTTAAGAAATTGATTCTAACTCTGCCCTGGTTGCCCCAAAAGTAAAAAAAAATGAAATAGAAAGCTATATATAGACTTTTGTCACAAGCTCAAAAGTTCGAGATTGAGCTTTTTCTACATTTCATTCAATTAGACATATAATTCTTTTGTGAATAAAAAATAGCCATTTAGATATACAACGTTTTACTGAACAATTTCAATTATACCTAAAAGAAAAAACACTAATTCTAGGCAAATGAAGTGAATGTAAAAATAGTAAATGAATAAACAAATAAACAGATTGTAGCGACACTAGATTGTTTCTGCAGAAATTATTGTATGTACTCATCACAAGTGAAATGTTAATATACCCTCTTTGAATTCCTCACACTTCGTCCACACTATTCCATTGAGAAGTGATATATTTTCAGAATTCTCAATTATGATGCTCACTTAGTAAATCATATCATAAATATCACTAGTTCGGACTTCCATTGTCTATTATATAAAATGATCTGAAATCCCTGAAACAAGTAAAAAAGAATAATTAAAAAGAATAGTTGAAAATAATTATTGTTGCTTAATATAATTGTTATTTTCAACTATTCTTTTTAATTATTCTTTTTTACTTGTTTCAGGGATTTCAGATCATTTTATATAATAGACAATGGAAGTCCGAACTAGTGAAATTCATCACGAAACATTGTCAATCACCTTCAAACAAACATATCATAAATAATTGAAATAGTAAGTACTGGCTTACCGCATTGTGACGAAGATTGTAATTGTGTAGTTAAAAGTATTGGTCCTGCAGATTGCTGTCTGCTAGTAAGAGGAATACATCGGGGAACCGCTCGTCCAGAAGTAGGGGCAGGATTATTGGACATACTAAGTGATGATACTGTACCAGCAGGAGCTGTTCTTATCAAACTGTAATGAAAAATGATGGAAAACATATGGAAAATATAATAAGAAAATCTAATTCAAAATCATCTCTGGAGATGAATATACGGCTTTTCATGCCCATCTTTATCTGAAAATAAATGTATTTTCTTATTATTATAATCAATATTTACACTTCATCTTTTTTCTCAAATCGTACAATGTTCTTTAGTATACGTCATAAAATACTGCTTTCCGAGTCATGTCAAACTTATTTGAAGATATAAAAAAAGTCAGTATTAAACTCTCAAAGTGGTTGAAAAATAAAAATATTCCAAATGGCTCAAATTCAACGTCTTTTTAAAGATATTTATTTTTTTGATACTTTTTCTCATTCTAATGATTATTTTGCCCTGTTTTCTAGTACTACATGAGGCAGTGATGATGTGATGTAGAAAGGACAATATTTTAATTCAATATATTTGTATCAAAGAGAAATACAGGGCGGGCCATCAAAAACTTGACATGGAGGTTTTGGGTACTAATCTGGCAAAACATAAAAAACGCTCAGACAGGTCGATTTTTATTGGGAGGGGAACAGTTTTTCCCCATTTACAGCGTCGTCACTTCAACCCCGGAGCAGAGGGGTGAGCAACCCTTGGAGTTTTCATAGGGAACTGGGAGTGAGTCTCACATCGTTTGAAAGATCTTGGAATTCTCTTAACAACGATGTACATTTTTTTTTAATTTGGATGAACAATATTAAATTTAGAGTTGAAGTTACTTACTTCATTCTCATGTTAGCATATGCTCAAAATTGGCACCTCCAGCTCCCATGCAATAATAGAGATTTTGCCGTAAATCTTCGAGTGATGCAGGAGGAGTACAGTAAATTCTGCTTTTCAAATGACCTCACAGAAAGAAATCTTTTTCCATAGTACAGTTGAATCAACTCAACCCTCTCTGCAGTTGTGTAAACCATTGTTTCTTTAGCAACACTTTACGGCACTCACTTAATGTAGATATCACTTTCAACATAAAAATGAGAAATAAACACAGCATTTTTAACCATTTCTCAATTGTAATAGTCCTATTTTCAGAGAAGAACTAAAAAATTAACAAAAAAGTAGCGTAAGAAACAAATGAAAGAGTTCCGAATACATTTCAACTGAGCAGTGGCGTACAACAATTTGTTGCTATTAACAATATTGAAAAAGTTAATTATCGGAAAGAACTCTTTTGAATACGTCCAAACTTTAAAAAATGTACACCATTGTTTAGAGAATTTCAAGATCTTTCAAAAGATGTGCGACTCGCCCCCTATTCCCTATTAAAATTCCAAGGGTTGTTCACCCCTCTGCTCCGGGGTTGAAGTGACGACGCTGTAAATGGGGAAAAAACTACCCCCCTCCCAATACCTGTGTGAGTGTTTTTTCGCATTTGCAAAATTAGTACCCAAAACCTCCATGTCAAGTTTTCGATGGCCCACCCTGTATACTGTTTATTAGTATAGTCTATACAAAGTCAATCCGAACAGCTTAATGAAAGACTAATTAATGTACCGGGTCTCGTTACTTGTGTCTTCTCTTGAAACTTCAAAAACGCCGTGTTTCATGGGGTCATATAGGCAGTATCGAGACGTAGGAGACGCACTCTAATTCGGGAAGTCCAATGCAAATTCAAGCAATAGTCTGAAGTTTTTGTCATAGTAGAATAATATAACCAGTAGGCTCTCTTACCACGTGATCCGCCCGAGTTGCCGGGAACCTTCAACTGCTCTTTGAAAGAGATTCTCATCCAACGCGTTCAGTGCTGTAGTATTGAAGGATTCGATGGTACCACGGGCATCGGATTAGTTATAATAAACGGGCGGAAATTGATATTGTGTTTAGTTAATTCGCTGTTGTTGCTGAGTGCAAGTTCATGGTAAAAGAACGAAATTGGCTCCGCACCTCATTATTGCGAGGTAACCGAGAATTTCGTGAATTTATGAATGAAAGTAGTGGGATTGGACTTACTGGTTGATTTTTACTGTGTTTTTGTAATGTATTTTCAGTTCAGTAGTGAAATAAATTCGAATTTAAGTGTACAGTACAGCTCGGACTTTAACGATGGTACTTTGCCAAATAATTGATAAAGTAAAAAATTAAAAGTCTACTTACGATAAATTATCTTTGCATGTCCTAACTGCTTCTGGAAAACAGTATCGGTCGTTGATTTCATCATGTTCCACTTTTATATCCAATTTAGGCCTTTTTGCTTCTGCCCTTTCCCCGGTCCAAGCTAACCTTTCCGACAAAACCATTGTGTGATGATGAGGGTCCATATGATGGTCCCCGAATCTGCTTAAATCAATTATCAAAAATTAGGCCTACAATAAAAGACTAAGTGAATATTTTGTGCTGTGATTTTGGAATTGTTCATTGAACAATTTAACAATTTTGTCGCAATAACAGGTGCATGCCCCACGTGGGGGTTTTAATCAGACGCCGGGAAATGAATATTGTTAATGCAATTTTTCACAGTGAAGGAACCTATCCGAAAATTTCGGAAAAGTTGAAATCACCAAAAAATATATAGTTTTTTAAAAAAGCACCGCACGCTAAAAGACCTGTAGTGAACGTCAAATGTTCGATTTGAGAGTCTACAATCAAATTCAGGAGAGCAAGGTCCTACGGGTTAGATTTAACACAAAGTGATATACTCCCAAATTAAGAAGAAAGGATATATAATCCGGAAACAGCTCATCTGTAACAACTGCTTCCTTTTATGGATACTGAATTGCACCAAAATCACGTTTTCTTTTTTGATTTGTACATCGTACATTCATAACAGAAATTGAAAGATATCATCGACGGAAAACACAAAACAACGTAACAAATGAAAACGTAAGCATTGATTTAAAAATCCAATTTGAAAGAATCAATTTTTGTCTCAGACTGAGTGAATTATGTCGTGCAAATGTATCAATTGCCATTATGACGGAATATATATGTTTCCGATTATTTTATGCCATAAACACAACTATGAAAAGGATATGGTGGACATTTTTTTATTGAATCGTCGTTCAAACTGTTGAGGTTACAAATCAAAACTTTTGACCACACTCTAAAGAAAGAAAAATTTATTTCTATGAAATACTATATCCGTAGGAGAAAACAGTTGTCAGATAGACTTATGATCTAGAAAAACCATCTGTCAATAACCTTGAAATTTATTTCATATTTGTTAACTCTACTTTCTTTACTTTTTAGGAAGTTTACTTTTCTAAATATCCAATGTTGGCGAAGTAGAGATATATTTTTTCAAGATACGAGTTCTAGTAAACCGATTTTTTGCATGATTTCAAAAGTAACAATACAGTGTGTGTAATATACAGAGTGCCCACTGGAAGCACGGCGAACCAAAGTTAGGCCCAGAGGTCCTTTAGCAACAGCCCGATCCCTTGAAGCTGTGGAGATCGGTTTCCATTGGAACCACGAGGAGAAATATGAGAACAGGGCTCTCTGAAAACAAAATAATTTGTCGCTTGGGGCATACCGATTTATCAGCAGTAGCGGAACATTCATTTGGAGAAGGTACTCGCGTTATCGCGTTTCAAGAGTCCCAAATCCTCGATAGAACTCAGTGTTACAATACAAGACTATATAGGGCGGCCATAAAGATTCAGAAGCACAAAAATAATTTCAACTGTAAGGAAGAGGAAATCGTCATTAATGAAATCTGGTGCACCTGATTGCTGTCGTATCAATCATTGAATTCAACCAATAGAAACAATGCCACACCCTCACCAAAGGAGTTCCAAACCAATTCTATAGACCTGCTTCAAGAACAACCAGAAGAATTCATCCATTGCCTCATCGCCGTTGATAACGGCTTCTTGACACAATATTATGTCCAGTTCTGCCACTTTGACCGTCTTAGTACAGTTTGAGGAAACTGGTGAGCCACAAGCAAAAACGGTGACAAATCTTATCATCAAATATAAGTAAACCTTTATCAGATCCTGAGACCCCACTTATTTCTCGATTGTATTATTACAGAAGGGCCTCAATTGATTTTTGCTTTTGGAACCATATTGTTGAAAGCTTGGGTTAAATTGCATCATTCTCCATGAGTTTCAATATCATTCGATTCAAAACTTTTTTCCTTTGTACTTCTCCATAATTGAACAAAAAATGAGAGAAACTTTCAAAGACAGGAAGAAAGGAATACAAGAAAATAATACGTCAGTGCACGATCAATACATCTTCATAAAACTTTTTTAATGTAGTTTTTGTTTAATGATGAAGAAGTAGAAAGCAAAAGGGTTTTTTGTCTCACTGTTTGATATAAATGAAATTTCTATGACTTGGAATAAATTGATTACCATAATAAAAATAAAAACAATTTATTTTCCCAAGAAACATATAATGTTTATAGCAGGAAAAAGTATGATAGTGCTTCATGTAAATGATATCTGTGTTTTCAATTCCATAAGGAACATCTGGGATACAAACCGAGTAGGAAAAGTACATTTTTTCAATTCGATGTTTATATGAAAGTAGTTGTTCCGACAAGGTTTTTTCTTACAGTTTGTATCTGAAAGTCCGAGCATAATCTACACATATTTGTAAAGAGTATTCATTGCAGTTATTTGCTTTCTTCCTTTTTTTAGGAGTTTTCCAATTTCCAAAGTAATATCTACTGAAAATATTCTCTTTTCAATTCAAACCGAGCAATCATTCAACAAGAACAAAAAAAAACGCTTTTTTGTAAGACACGGAATAAAGTTTACAATACACTGGTGCATACTCTTTCAGCCCATTTTTCGAGCGATGACAGGTAATTCACCACGACCAGAAGTGTTATTTTGGGTTAAATTGCATCATTCTCCATGAGTTTCAATATCATTCGATTCAAAACTTTTATTTATATGAAAGTAGTTGTTCCGACAAGGTTTTTTTCTTGCAGTTTGTATCTGAAAGTCCGAGCATAATCTACACATATTTGTAAGAGTATTCACTGAATTCATTTTCTTTCTTCCTTTTTTTTTAGAAGTTTTCCAATTTCCAAAGTAATATAAAATATTCCTTTTCCATTCAAACCTTTTCATTCAACAAGAACAAAAAAACGCTTTTTTGTAAGGCACGGAATAAATAAAGCTTACAATACACTGGTGCATACTCTTTCAGCCCATTTTTCGAGCGATGACAGGTAATTCACCACGACCAGAAGTGTTATGGACGTTGATCTGTAGAATTTATTTAATACGAGGAGCCTATTCGACTCTGCAGATTATAGAGAGGGAGTAGTCGGTGATGTTTCTTACTGAAAATCAATTTTTAAAGTGGCAAACAAATTGTTTACCAGCTAAATTTGCTATTCTGTCGATCTTGTTGCTATTGAACCATTGAACTATTAAACGTTAGTTCATCTAATTAATGCATGAATAAAGATACGAAACTTGTTTGCCCTCAATTCACAACAATGAACTTCTACATTAATTATATCAGTGAACAGTTCCTAGCATATTATCTACTACCTGGGCTGAAAAGTCTAGGGCCTAACACATAGATGGCGCGAGTCTTGTTGCATTCACCGCTTTTTCAGTTAGTACTAACCTTCAAAAGAAAGCTGTTGAAATTTCATGATATTCTACTCATAAGTGTGTGAGTTAATGTGCTAAGAGTGACACTACTTTTGTTATTTTCAAAACAATTTCGTGTTTTAATTTCACACTGCTTCTTGTTGGGAAAAAATACTGTTCAAGCGAACACTTCTCAGTAGTGTTAGAATACTTGAGAATGGTGTAAAAACCGAAACCTTGGTCGTATTAATATCAATACATTAAGTAAGTGGAAATTAGACAAAGTATTTTATTTCTATATCTATATCATTTAATTGAAGATGAATTTCCACAAAATAAATAAGTCGTCAATATCACAAATCACGAATGATAGTGTGGCTCTTGATGGAGATTACGTCAATGAATAAAGCCAACTTTGAACAAAAAACGCCTTTTGAAAAAGTCAACTTCAAAGTTCAATTTTTGGCGGCATCAAAATTTATCTTTAGATGCATGCACTCGAAACTTCAAATGATGACTAATTGAGTTATTGGTAGTATATTTTTTGGTAAAAATGTATAAAACAAATATGAATCATTAATGATAAAGTACTGAAACGATACATCTTGGGCAGGAATCTTGGAATAAAATTATTTATCATAGACTAGGCATTGCTTCTCAAAATGAAGATGGAGAACATGAGGTCACATCGCCTACTTTTAGGTTATCAATTATAGTAACCAATTCAATAGTTTTTTTCTTTGCTGTACACGATTGTCTCTAATTCAAGATTAAATATTAGTTCAAGTCATCTCCTGATGATGCTAACTTTGTTAGCGATACACGAGTCGAGAGACCATCATCCTGTTGAAAAGTTTTCGTGTGTTTGTATTTTTGTTGATCGAAACATACAATGCAGTTGAAACCAGAGCCCAGACACAAACCATGTTTCCACCTGCCAAGATCTTATCATTGGGGCTAGGCTAAATCACAAATGCACTGCTGGACTCAACTGTTCTTGAAGGGCAAGTCTGTGTAGGTGGAGGCGATGACATCTCCCCCGAAGCATTTACTGCAAGTCAAAAAGTTGAAACCAGAGACTTAAAGCAAAGCTTTCGTGATTCAACAGCAGACATCGCCGTTTCGACCCGCCATAAGTTTTTGGCCTATATTTTCAACTAGTTGACTTATAATGAAAGTTACAGTAAGAGATCGAGGAAGAATTTCGTTCGGCAGTAGCTTGTCTTTGCGACTGACCGCCAGCAAAGTCGTCTTCAGTTCAATCAGGTTGGAGCCTAGCTCCCTTACCCTTTTATCTAATTTTTGTCAAAAGGACAAATCGAGTTCATGACTTAGAGGTGGTGACTGACCGCCATGGGGGCCTCGTAACTTTTATATACGTGGATTGAGTATTCTGTCCCCACTCTAAGACCACGCAGACTGCGACATGACGGCACAGGACGGGAACATGACGGGACGTGGCCTTCGAGCGGAGATATCACGGCACATGCCGTGATACACATGACGTCCTGGCATGTGCCCGTTCGTTGCCTGCCTTAATGTGCGCCCTCCATAAGAAACTATAGGCTTGTTCTGGTTCTCTGTCCGGACTGTTCTTAACAATCAGAAAACAGTCAACTAACTGAATACTGAACATTTTGTCTCGTTAACCTTTTCAATCCACAAATGACTCATTGGTTTTGGACGATTCGAAACAGTACTAACTGAAAACCAGAACAAACCTTATAGAAAGAGAAAATAAACTTCACGTCATGTTCCCGTCCTGTCGCAGTG